TAACCTTTGTCGTGGAAATCTACTCTGCATTAGCTGATCTTTAAGGAACGCCTTTGTTTTACACTAAATGCATCAGTGTGAGTGAAAGGCGGTGACCAAAGAAGCGTGATCATGAGACACACAAAATTGCAACTGCTGTTGATGCGATGCATAGAACGTCTGAACGTCATGAGGAAGAGCTGATTAGTGGGGACTGCTCAATTGTTGGCATCTTATTCCGTAGGGGCTTTACGGAGACACAAAAGTTTTCGCACACCACTGAGCGGTCATGATTCTGTGTCTCCACAAGTTTTTTAAACTTTCATGTTGGTCTTGTACAGAGTCTAAACTGTAGCAACAGTTCCTCCTCGCTCCAACGCGTACACGTCACGCCCTCATGCGGTCACTGATTTCGCACTTTCAACATCAGAGGTGTAAAGCACTCGTTTGTAAGAGATGATTTTGATCAAGAAGTAGTAGTAAACAAAGCGGGGGCGATTGTATGTCAGACTGGAACAATAACACGCATTCGCGGAGTGTGACGACTGTTGGTGTTCCTCCGAGACCTTGGCGGCGAGCTTATTAAAAGCGAGGCGAGGGGCACACGTTAAAAGTGGAATTGTAAGCTCAACTTAATAAATAACATTCTCAGTTCTCATGTGGTGCTCAAGGGGAGCAAAATCGCCATTCTCTTCATCTTTTTGATGAAGAAGGACCAATGGTCCATTCCGTGCTTTAGAAGGTGGGAAATGCGGCGCCTGACCTGATGCTGTATGTGTTCTAAATGTTGGGACTCGTTAACCCAGCGTCACCTATGTGTGACGGATGATTTTTTCCCATTTATGGCAAATATTTGGGCTAAATCGTGCCTGGGGTAGATTTGTTCAATTTAAACAATGGAAAAGATTTGTTTTTCATGGGATTCTATGGTAATCCTGTTCAGTACGGGAGGAACTGCAGGTTCACACATTTGGTACATGTGCCTGGTCGATCGGCCTATGGTGCGAGGCTACCAGCTGGGGGATTAAGACTGAACTCCTCTAAGTCTGAATCCCATCCAAAGGTGCAACGATACACTGTGGCCTGCCACATGGTAAGGGCTTTCACAAACAGTGGTCCC